GCGCTTCTTGAATTTCAGGGCGGCGGATATTTGTTGCAAGCTGATAGCCTCCGCGGATGGCCTTGCCATCACTGTCCCTATAGGCAGGGTTGCCCTTGCCGAAGGCCGAGTGTTCCCCTTTTCGGCGTCTTGGGTCGTTGTGCGGAAGTAGCTGGCCACCTCTCCTGAGAGCGTGTTCTTTTGGGCCAGCCTGCCTCCACTCACGAGGAAGTCGAGCCTGTGGATGTGGCTCTTCTCTGACGCGCGCATGGGAAGCTGCCGAAGCAGCAGGAGCGGCACCCGGTGGAGGTGCCTGAGGAGGCTCCTGTGCGATCCCAGATGGATCGTCCGATGGAGGCAGGTCTCCCTGCTGGGTGGAGCTCGGCGCAATTGGCGCTTGTGCCGATGGTGATGATGATTCAGACTCATCAGGATCGAAGTCAACCTCTTCCTCACCATTCACGTCCATCATGAGGATGGTGACGTCATCCTCATCTAACCCGCAACCATCGCCTTCTACTTCTTCTGACGTCGAACTACCGATGATGATGGCCATTGGCGTATCTGGTACAGGCAGGTTTCCCTGCATAGCCGGCGTCTGTGCGTCGCTCGGCTGTCCCGGAGTAGGAGGCACCGTTGTCGGCTCAGGCTCGTTGCCGAGCACAGGCTGCCCAGCAATGTTACGCATGGCCGTATGGTTTGGCCTCATTCCCACCGCCTGGAGACCCCATCCTGGCGGGGGAAGATCATGACCGCGCATAGCAATAGCCATGTCTAGAGCATTACGCCATCTACCACGGGAGTATATCAAGTGTCTCTGCACGTCCTGAGGATGCACGCTGTCAATGAGAGTCAGAGCTGCCAACAACAGCTCTGAGCTACCGCAAGCATCAGTATCCTGGTCTGTCATAATGTCAGCTTCGATATGTTCTTGACTCTCAGGATAACCAGTAATAAGTATCTCATGCATCCTCATGAGGGTCTGCAAAAGGGTACGTGGTCCATATTCGCCTGGAGCAAGCGAACCAGGAGGTATGAACGGAGTATCTGGTTCGCCTGCAATGAAGGCCTGAACAAATGCCTGAGACCCCATTTCAATTAAGTCTTCAGCGGTCTGGGGATATTCCCCCATCAAAGACGGCCTGTTTCCAGGCGGGATTTCGGGCGGAGGTTCGAGGTTCCGTTAAACCTCGGAAGGCGAAGCCTCTATAGTGGTGTCCTCGTCGTCGCTCTCGTAGGCCATGATGTTGCCTGGGTTCCTGAACATCCAGTCGTAGAAAGAAAAGAGGCTGGTTTCCCAGCGTACCGTGTTCCACGGGAGTAAGCTCGTTACTGCCCATAACGAACCGGCGGACGTACTCGAGGTAGCACGCGTACAATCCATGACCATACGCTTCGAGCTCGTCGACGTTGTCCATGCCAACAACCCAAGTGAAACATATCTGCTCCATAGCCTCAAAGTCCTGGAGGCTCAGATACTCAATGGATGGTTCACTTGAGCCAAAATGGACTTCGGTCGACCTGCCCTTTCCATTTCCCTTCACTGGACAATCTCGCACAAGATGATCGGAACTACCACATTCATGGCATTTGAGAACCTGGCCGTCTCTACCTCGCGGGTTCCCCCGCCTACCTTTGCCTTTTTCCTGAGGTCTCTCTACGGCCTTTACCACGGCCTTTCCCCCCAAAGAATATCTCATCATGTTGTTCATCTGAGAGCCTCTGGAGAAATGCCGCGATGCATCGCCCGTTCAACCTCCGACGACCTCGCTTGCCTTTACCCTTTCCTTTAAAACTTCTACGTGTCCTCCTTCTAACACGACGCACTGGTTTTCGTGTGAACCTCCTCCACCTTCGTTTAGCCTGTTGTAGTAACCAGAACAAATGTTCAGCACGCTGATTGTCGTTATCCATATTCATGATATCTGACCAATCTAAAGCTTCAACACCATCTGATGATATAGTGTCTGTATCAGTGCCGGAGTCGAAATCCTCGTCTCCCAAGTAGGTGGATACACCGTCGGTTAGGGGGTTTGATTCCCCCCATAAAGAATGGTGCGGTTGTGGTTCTCTAGAAGGAGGGCTGGTTGCCCAGCTTGGTTGTGATCGATCCCCTGCTAATAAAGCAGTGGATTCTCCTGGGTCATCGACCCATATGCTTGAGGGCCCGTTTCCAGGCTGGGCTTCAGTAGTCAAGGTAGTGTAGAAATTTCCACTACCAGATCCCCTTCCCCTTCCAAACACAGATCCTATGTTACCAGGAGACCGTTCGGATAGGTGGCCTATCGAACGCATCCTCTCCAGCAACTCATCATACTGTTGTTGTGTTCGGGGCATTTGGTGATTGAGTGGCTGTAAGAGTTGCATGGCTCGCTGGTTGCCGACGCCTAAGGCGCGGAATAGGATAGTGGTTAGCAGTTGGAAGTTGGGAAGGTCGAATCCCACCGATTGTGCCTCAAGTCGGGCCATTTCGAATCGGGTAAGGGTGACATCGATTCGTTCCCCGTGAGGCACGTGGAAGTCGATGACTTGTGTGCCGGAAGTGAGCTGTCGCTCATCTTCCAGGCGTTCGAACTTCATGCTTAGGAGGAACATGATGTAGGTCACTGGGTCTGTGTGGACCTCATCGATGTCAGCACCATAGTTTATAATGTCAGGCGGTACCCTCATGGCGAGTGTCCTCGCTAGGCCACCTAGGCCGCGTTGTATTGCGGCCGCTTGGGCCTGTGGCGTCATACGTCCGCTTGTAACGTTGAGCCATGCGTTGACCTCGTAGATGTACTCACGAAAAGGTACATTACCTTGAGGGTCCCAATATGGGCCATGTGTTTGCCCATCGGTGCTGTTTTCTCCACGACGCATGTGTCCGATTGCTGCCCCCAGCGCGAACCATATGATAGCGAAAACGACTAGCCCGAGAATGTGTAGCGAAGGACGGTTATGATGCGCGTTGTCGCGCTGGGGTAGCGCCTTGTCGAGTCTTCGAGGCGCTCTGTCTGGCGGGTCTCCCCGCCCCTGCTTCAAGTATTGCGCTGTTAACTCGTTGCCGAGCGGTTGGTGGTAACGCAATGATGAAGCGTATATGGTACCAGTCTGGTCGTCTAGACGTCGTACCTCTCGTGTTGCTTCTTGCTTTTGGATAGATCCTCGTAAACGTACTGGGAGTGGTGGCGCAGGGTGGTAGGTAGTCACGAAGATCGTGCCGAAGAATATGAGGCTAAGAAGAGCAAGAGCTGACCACACGAGAGTGCGGCCAGCTCCGCTACCAAGTCGAAAGTGAGCCTGGTAGCTCGAATATGGCATATAGCCTGGCAAATTGCATCCATCGCTCTGCTGTGAAGGTACAGTATGAGGGGTGGATGGATAAGATAGGATACGATCGATGTAATGATCTTTCCAGCACATAGCGAACACTCGCGGTGTCCGGGCAAATAGGGCGCGCGTGCCTTGGGCCAAAGGCAACGGCGCGCGAGCTATGCTCCCGATACTGTAACATCTCCCAAAGAGCTACCCTTAAAGTCCTCCTCCTCCTCCTCCTCCTCCTCCGCCTACCGCAACAGTGGAGGTCAGTCCGCCAGAAACCTTCCACAAGAAACCCAACCCCGAGACCCAAGGGCGTCCATCGACAGCTGGTGTGGGAGGTCGCGCCTTCCGCAGCAGACCATCAAAAGCCAAGAAACCAGAGGCACCCTGGAGGCAAGCAGGGTGTTTCTTGGCATGGGTCTCCCCTGCAATGTAACTCGTTACTGTCCGCGCGGGGGGGGGGGAAGGGGCAACCACCCTTGTACCTTCTCTTCACAGGGTTCTCAGACTTACTTCCCCGGGGGTCCTAGGACATGTAAAACTAAGCAGATTTGCGCTTCCGAGACGATCGCCCCTTGTAAATGACAACGGGTTCGCGCCCCCGGGGCCACGACCGCTAGTAAAGTACCTGTGGTTCGCGCTCAGCGCTCCCGAGGCCACTATCCTTATGCAAACTACGCGAGAGTCGCGCCCGCGAGACGCGATTTCCACAAACTACGCCACATTCGCACCCCTGTGGCCACATTGTTTCGCAACCTACTCTGGATTAGCGCTGCCGAGCCACTGTCCCTCGTAACTAATGCCAGATTCGCGCGCCCGGGACTACGATCCCTTGCAAATTACTCTGCGTTCGCGCTCCCGCACCACAGCTCATTGGTGGCCCCATGTGGCTCAAGATAGCTCCATGATACCTCAGAATGAGATCAGCTGTTCCCAAAATTGGCTCGCCCAAGACGCTTCCAAGACGCCTAAATGGCTCCACGACGCCGAAACGAAGGCTCCAAGACGGCTCCACGTGGCCACGGAGCCTCTCAATGAGGCCCCCAAGAAACCACAATCCTCCAAGATCAAGTGTCTCTTCACGTGTTTGGCATTGTCGCCTTTGGCGTGCGGGTTTCCCCTCTCTGGGGAGCCCGCCGTGACTCCCGCGCTGCGGGCTCGCACTTCGTCTTCCAGCTGGTGAGCACAGCACGAATTGGACAACTTCGTGACGAAGCAGGTGTTGCTCGTTGCAGGGCAGAGAAGCAAGCACTAGCGAAGTCACGATTACCGATCGCCCTCGCAGGAGGTTCCGCCATTGCTTCACTCTGGACACCCAGAATGGGTACAGAAACAGTAGGCACGATGCCCAACAACACATGTTGTCCAAACCCGACAGCGGCCGCTGTCGGGCAGGCGGCCGTCTGTTTCAAATGGGCAGCGTCCGCGGCGACACCGATAGCTGGCCCTGTTCGCAACGAAAATGACATTATGTCGGTCTTCGTACCCCTTTTTAACCGTACCTAGTTGGACCGTACCGAATCAAGACAGCGCCAAAGCATCCCAACACAACACTGGCACATCCCAGTATGATAGGGAGGGAGCAGCCAGCAGAGGGCGAAGCCTTCACATACAGACAGCTCAGGAACGGTCGACCCGGGGAGGTTGCTGGCCTCAGGAGGCTCAATTGAGTGGCTCCTGGGCCTCCCGGGCCTCCGGGCAGCCAAGACAGCACGGGCCTTCTCCTTGTCGAGGTCTCTCCCGAACTCCCCGAACATCAGCAAATCCACGGCAATCTTGCTGCGGTCGCCGTCTGCGTCCGAGGCCGCCGAGCGCAACTGCCACAGGTACTGGTTTCCGAAGTGCCGCATGCCAGACACCATATCCAGCGTTCGTTCGTCATGCTCGTCGCTGGTCTCGCTCGTGTCTGAGCCGGCGCTGGGCCGCTGCTTAGCTGAGTTATGCTCCTCTCTGAAGTGGAAATGCTCCCTGCCGTAAAAGAGCAACGAGTTGACGCCGCCGAAAGGGGTCAGTGCCTCGGCGGTCCTGGCGCACAAAGGGTTGGAGGATAAGAAAGAAGGATGACGGAAGAATGGAGGAGGAAGGTGGGGTGAGCTCCTGGAGCGCAAGGAGTCTCTCTGCAGCGGCTGGCTCTTCGACCCTGCGCAGTTGCCCATTGCCTGAAGAGCAGGAAAAGGATGAGGGCGGCCCCCTCCTCCTCCTGCTCCTCCTCCTGCTCCTCCTCCTCCTCCTCCTGCTCCTCTTCCTCCTCACCAGCATCACCAACATCATCACCATCACCCCCATCGAACTCCCCTTTCCCGTGCCCCGCCCTCATCATCCTCCTCCATTAGAGATACTCAATCTGACTACTACCCTCCACTCTCGCTGGATCCTGTGCTAGCACGACGCCGCCTCTCCCGCGCTGGCGTGTGCAAAGTCGCGGGCAATACTTAAAACGATGATGGCTCAGACTGCGCTGTCCGATCCAAGCGCTTCTGCGTGTCAATCTGGTGCTCCTGCGGAAGCGCTGGCCCCGTCTCGGGATCGGCGCGCTGCTCCCGTCGTCCCGAAAAAAGCGCTGTCGCCCAAGCGCGGGCCACACTAGTGGATCCGAGTCCTCCCTCGTCGCTGCCGCCCCCCTCCTCCGCCATCCCCTGGTCCTCCTGCTCCTCTCTCGTCCTACCCCTCCTGCTCCTTCTCCTGCAGAAGCTGCTCTTCCTCCTCCTCCTCATCATCATCTTTATCATCCTCCTCGTCTTCCTCCTCCTCATCCTCCTCCGTCTTCTCCTCCCTCCTCATATGGCTCGGTCTCCTGCCGATCCTCCTGTTTGTCCGCAACGTCCTCCTCCTCCTCCTCCTCCTCCTCCTCCTCCTCCTCCTCCTCCTCCTCCTCCTCCTCCTCCCCCAACCGCCCTCCTACTCCGCTGTACACAGCTCCTCCTCCTCGTCCTTCACTGTACACAGCTCCGAGCAACACGATGGAGTCACTTTAGTTCGGGATCCCGTGTCCGCTATGACACCCGTCGGCGGATTGGAAAAGTAAAAGGGGAAGGGATGGGTGGAAGGGATCGAATGTCAGATTTTGCAAGAGCGCGCCTAGCGTGTCCTCCTCCCCTCGTCGTTCTCTTCCTCCTCCTCCTCCTCCTCCTCCTCATCATCATCATCATCATCCTCATCCGTCTCCTCATCCTCTCCCTCCTCGTTCTCCTCCTCCTACTCCTCCACCTCCTCCTCCTCTTCCTCTCCAGGATGCAACTCATGGAAAGCTATAGTGCTCTTCAATTATGGTATGTTCCTGTTTTCTGCGTGCTGATAGCGTACCGATAGCGCCTTCATGGCGCTCCTCGCACGCCTATTCGCCTACTCACCTCAATCATCATCATCATCATCATCATCATCATCATCATCATCATCATCATCATCATCATCATCATCATCATCATCATCATCATCATCATCATCATCATCATCATCAGGCGCGAACATTATCGGACGCCGAAGGCTGTCCAGGGGAGAGCTGTCGAAACCTTTTTCCCGATATACATAGCGCTCGATAGCGTTCACACCGGGATCGCTTTCGTGAGCGCTCGGATTTCCTCGATCTCAGCACCATCCAAAGACACGTCATGATCGGATAACGCTCAATGGTGCCTGATAGCGTTCGGCCTCGCCCACGCCATCGAACGCTATCGAGCGTCCTGGACCGTTCGAGGACTGACAGAAAAGGGGGGGAGGATGATGAGGAGAGGGGGACCCAGGGGAGGACCAGCGAAAGAGTGAGAATACTTGAAGGATGACGAAGTGGCCTCCTTTTGCCAGCCCTGGCGCGGGCCGTGAGGAGGCCAGTGCCGAGGCTCAGCATGTCCCCTGCTTTGTCTGTCGCGAACGCTCCGGCCAAAAAGCCAGATGCCATCGGCCGGGCAGTTCGCAGGCAGGTCTTGGAAGCTGGTTGGGTCCGAGAGGCACTTGTGGGCATCCCTCGGCACGTGGGCAAGCTTGCTCTTGTGCTGCGCCAAGAACGATACAATCATCTCGGTGGTCGCGCTCGCCGTGAGACGGAGGTCGGTGGCCGATAGCCTCCCTGGCCGATCTTGCGTGAGACTGGCTGACAGACTCAAGTACCGCCGCATGTACTCCTCAACATCACCAGTGCCACGAATTGCGCGGGCCGTGCCTTTCCAGGCATCTTTACAAACCACAAGGACCATCATGACGACAAGTTCTGCGTAGCAGCTTGCAGATGTACGCTGACAGGAGGCGCCTTGGATCCAGGGAGGAGGGGCTATCGGAGCAGTGTCTCCACGGCGTAGCATAGCATATCAACAAACCAACTCTGGACGTCGGTATTGTTTCACAACGTCGGTCCCCCAACCGCATCTCATAGCACCATTCCAGCGTTGTGAATGCAACATTCAAGCACGAGTCGGGCAGCTCCCGCTCAGGGGGGTGATTCGCTTTTAGTCCCTACCCTGCAAAACCAGAGCATAGCAGGGCGTTCATTAGCCAACCGACGTCGTGAGTGTAACATGGAAGCATGAATAGATGAGCTCCCGCTCATGGGGGAGGGAGATTCGTTACTGTTCCCTTCCCTGCAGAGACAGAGCATGGCATATCGTAGCATACGTCAGTCATACGTGGGCATTTCGAAACGCCCCTGCAACATGGACAGACCTGAAACGGAGCCCAGGAGGGCCCTTCAAGGCCCTTCTGGAGGCTCAACATGCACCAAGCGCTCTGGCTCTAGCTTGTCGCACTTTGCGACAGGGCCTCACCCACAGGATTTACGTGGGCACCTCTAGGCTCTGACTGGTTGAGCAACTTCCCTTTCGACCCTATCGGCCAAGTGTGCTCCCGATACAAAGGCAGTCTGATATAAAAAAAAAAAAAAAAAAAAAAAAAAAAAAAAAAAAAAAAAAAAAAAAAAAAAAAAAAAAAAAAAAAAACAGAGATGCCCAAGGCTTCTGAGGACACCTTTGTTCTACACACGCGTTCCTGAAGCCTCTCAAAAGCCATTACGTGTCGGGCTTTCTCTGGGAAGGGATCCCCATGGGACGTAACCCCTAAAGCCGAAAGCCCCGAAAGTGGCCCAAGAAGGCTTCGAGAGGACACCTCGTGAGTTCCAATACAGGCCTCAAAGTTAGTACACCAATCAGAGAACTCTAGGTCCTTTTGAAGCCTTATTGGAGCTTTCTTGGAGCCCATTCGGATACCTTTGGTGGCTTTCCGAAACGGTGCTGCAAGGCACCCGAACGCCCCGAGAGGGCTACCGTAAGGCTCCAGGAGGAGTCCCAGCTGGCTCCAAGAGGGCATGAGGGCTCTAAGGGGGCCGCAAATTTCTTACACATTGAGGCGCTCTTGAAGCCCGCTTGGAGCTCTCTTGGAGCCCATTCGGGTTCCTATTGTGGCTATCCGAGAGGGCGCTGGACTGCCCCTGAAAGAGGCCGAGTAAGACCCCAAGAGGGATCCAGAAGCGGCTCCAAGAGGGAATCCAAGTTCTTCAACGCAATTTAAATATTCGAGGCCCTCTTGGAGCCCTCTGGGGGCCCTCGCGGGGCTCTCCAAGACGGCGCTGGAGGGCCACCGAACGCCCCGAGACGCGGAGGGAGGAGGAGAAGGAGGAGGAGGAGGGACAGAACAGCAAGACACAAGAATTCGGAGGGAGGGGGGACGAGGGGGAGGAGGAGGCGGAGGAGGAGGAGGAGGAGGAGGAGGTGAAGAAGGGAGGATAATAGAAGAGCTGCGAGGAGGGGGAGCGGGTGCGAGGATGAGGAGGGAAAGAACGATCAAAAGACGATATCGGGACGCTATCGGGACGCGATCAGTCGCTACGATAGTGGGAAACAATCACTGAACACTCCCCCTCATTTCCAAATTAAAATTGGCACGCGCGGGGGAGACTGCGGTCGAGGTGCAACTCTTCAGGCCCACCTCCATCTTTGAACAGTGGGGGGAGGGGGAGGCGTTGACAGATGAATGGTGGCATGAGTGTTCGCTATTGGAGGGCCTCTTGGAGCCCTCTCGGACCCTTCGTTGGGCCCCTGTCGGGGCTTTCAATGGCTCTCCAGTTCCGTCTCGGGGGTCCCGCGACGGCCCCGAGAAGGCTCCAAGAGGGCCTCAACGTCTTCACGTGTATTTGAACTTCTTGATGCTCCCTCGGAGCCCGTCTGGACTCTTGGAGCCTTAAAGTGGCCCCCTCGGGCCGTTCGGACGCCCGTCAGCGCCGTCTCGGAGAACCACAACAGGTATCCGAATGGGCTCAACGAGGGCCTCGAGATCTATACAACATTTAAAAACTTTGAGGCCCTTCTTACAGCCCTCCTGGGCCCATCTTGGAACTCTCTTGGTGCTCTCTCTCAAAGCCTTCGTTGGCCTCTCTTGGGGCTCTCGGCCTTAGGGGGCACGTCCCATGGGGATCCCTTCCCAGAGAAAGCCCGATGTGCAATGGTCCCGCATAGGCTTCCAGGAACACGCGTGTAGAACAGGGTGTGCTCAGAAGCATTGGGCATCGCTGCTCTGATCAGAGTATGTTTGTACTGAGGGCACATATGGAGGACATAGCCGCAAAGGAAGTTACTCAACCAGTCAGAGCCTAGAGGTGCACATGTAAATTCTGTGGGTAAGGTGCTGTCGCACAGCGCAACAGGCTAGAAACAGATCGCGCGGATAGTTGGTGCATTTCGAGCCCCCAAAGACCCTTGAAGGGCCCTCGTGGGCTCCGTTTCGGATATATCCATGTTGCAGGGGCGTTTCGAAATACCCACGTATGACTGACGTATGCTACGATATGCCCTGAGCGGGAGCTCACCGATTGATGTTTACATGTTACACTCACGACGTCGGCTGGCTGATGTATGCTACGCTATGCTGTTTTTCCTGCAGGGAGGAGACAAGTAAACAGTTTCCCCCCTGAGCGGTCCTACCCTACGAATGCTTCCATGTGACGACGCCGGAATGGTACTATGAAATGCTGTGGGGGCCAGCGTTGTCAACAAATACCGGCGTCACAAGTCTGTTTCATCATATACTATGCTAAGCAGTGGAAGCATTGCTCCGATAGCCTCTCCTGAATCAAAGGCGCCGCCTGCCATCGATAATCTGCCAGCTGCTACGCGAAACTTGTGGTCATGATTGCTCTCGTGATTAGTAAAGATGCCTGGAAGCGCACGGCCCGCGCAAT